ACACACACACACACCTGCACCTGCACCCGCACCTGCACCCGCACCCGCACATGAAGACGCACACGCACACGCACACGCACGCACACGCACGCACGCACGCACGCACGCACGCACGCACGCACACGCGCACACACACACACACACAAGCGCGCGCATGCCAACACACAATGCGCCCATGCACACACAATGCGCGCCCGCACACCCGTGCGCGCCCTCCCGCCCGCACGCTCGCACGCCCGCACCTGCGCAAACAAATGATGCAATACATGGCCATACTCAAAATTTAATTTAGGGCTTAAGGCTGCAGGGTTCAGGCATTCTTGTCTCATGGTGGTGGCAGCAGACTTTATGGCAAAGGGCACAAGGTTCCCCAGGGAAAGGATTGGCCGAGTCGAGACAGCAACCAGGCATTTCAGAATGCGCTGCCCTCACCTGTTCGCGGCACGGATGCAAACAGCTTTGCATCCAGGGCCGATGGTTCTGTCCGTTTTTGCTGTGCTGCGCTGCTACACCGATAGGAGCCGATTTCTAGATATGAGGATTAGGATTGGAAAGGCAATGAAGGTTGCCATTTACTCCTGTACACATTGCTCGATTTGCAGAGCATCCCGAAGTCGCTCTGGGTGTTTGCCCTCCTATGTACAAACGAGGCGTGGTAGGTCGAGGGGTGGGTGGGCGGTGTTAGTGCACTGACTGAAGACAATGCCCAGGATTTGCTTCAACATCTTCGAAGAGCCGGCTACGCAGCCAGCAGTTTGCGGCAACTTGCGTTTGTGTGGAAGCAGCCATTATTGCAAGTGTAGTGCAATTTCGCAGAATTTTGCGCCGAGGTTACCTTGCCTCTGTGCGGCCACAGCTTTTGTCTGCGCTGTGTCAGAGGCTTCGCGGCTGCAAACGGGGCAATGGACGAAAGGAGTTGCAGAGGCACTGATTGAGTTTTTGATCGGGAGGAGTGGCCGCTTGCCCCGTCTGCCGGGGACCCATCGTGGAGGAACTGCTCTTCAGCTGCATTTGGGTTTGGGAGGTTATATAGGTTCCCTGCACGCAAGCAGTACGGTAAATAGGCTCGTGCTATAAGTCTTATCGGAAGCTTCGTGGGCTCTGCGGTAGCCATGACCAACATTCGTTGGTAGATCCTTGAGGTGAGGTCGATTTGCTATCGTGAGGTCGCACTTCAGTTCGCTTCCCAGCTGCTCTGCTGTCCCAGGCCACCTGTTCCCAACTACACTCTCCGGGCTCTTCTGGAGGCCTTCGGGAGCCCTTTTGGCACGAACTGGGGTCAACTGCCCGGCGTCTCGCTTGGTTTCCCGTGGCAGGAGATGCAACTGTCGAGACCTTGCGTTGAGATAGCAGCCTGCGCCGACGGATGGCAGCAGCTACGTGCTAAGGTGCCTTCGCCTACGAGTAAAAGGCCCGTTGGTGTGTGCATGAGATCAGTTGCAGGCAGAGTTAAGAATCCTGGTGTCCAGGTTTAGTTGGAGATCCCACGCTTCCCAAGGCCAGGATCCACCAGCGATGCATGGCCTGCGAAGAATATCACTGTGATGGGATTTTTGGGTTTTGCAGCTTGGCGAGATATTGTTTGGGCGGATTTGGCGTTAGGGACTTCCGAAGGTCGAGAGCAATCACTGATGCCTGAGCGAAGGCTTGAGTATTGAGTTTCTGCAGCTTGTTCGTGCTGTTGCGAGTCTTGTTCTGCGAAGCCTGCATTGTGTTGTTAGGGTTTCTTTCAGACTTTCAGGTTGCTCGTGCCTCGAGAAAGAGAGCTTGAGCTACAGAAAGGATGCAGGTCAGCAGAAGATTAGATGATCCGCTTGTCTTCGGGAAAACTCGCAACTGCAGAGCCCGGGGGCGTTACTGGTGGCCATGGTGTATGGCGTCGCCTTCGCGTCGAGAAACTGCAAGAGATACCTCACAGCGAAGCAGAGACGAACTAGTGGGCCAGAATCCATCCCAGGTTCGGTGTGCCTTGATGCCGTCCGCCGAATGAGCACCAGGCGCGGCTCAGAGCGGCGACCAATCGAGAGCATGCTCAGACGTAGCCAAACATCTGCATCTATTGACCCTTACACAATCGCTGTGTTACTTCTGCTAGGCAGAAGTGGATACGGGGTTCACCAAAAGGTGGTTGGTGTTACCAGTTTGGAGTTTACACGTCGCCAAGTTAACATCTCTACAGTAGTGAGTCAGGCTTTGCGTGAAATTCGGCAAAGAGGTCCCGTCATGAAGGATGCAACTGCTTCTTAGGGCATGTTAGGCATGGCTTGATGATCGTATTCAGGCGGTTGCTAACCGCCGACGACATCTTCCGCACACTTCCGGTCGAGGCCCAGATTTGACCGTTCATCAAGTGGAGTCCCAGGCGCCCAGGCCCAGGCATCACGTGAGATCAGCAGACCTACCGTAACACTCCCGGGCTCGCTTCGCACATCCTAGTCAAGCTCCAAACCCCCCGGATAGACGGCACCAGAAGCTTCGCCTGAGCAAGGAAGTTCTGGAGAAGACTCGGCAGGCCAACCACCAAGCAAAGTTGGCCCCTCGCCTGCATAGCTAATTTTGCAGGCGGGCCGCCGAATCCGGAGATGGCTTGGCATTCCCAGCGTGCTCTGTTTTCATGGCAACAGCCACCTGAAGAGAGACAGGAGAGATGATTCTTGTTCCTTCCGATTGCATGTTTTGCCCTCGTTTTCTTGCTTGTTAGATTGTCATGCTCAGTTGATCTGGCGATTGTTTCTTTCGCTGCATGAGGACGAACAGGATGAGAAGGAGGAGAAGGAGGAGGAGGAGGCTAGGACGACAAGGAACTACAACGACGACGAAGACGACGATGGCAACAACCAATGCTGCTACCCTTGCCACTACTGCGAGCACGACCCCTGCGGTGGCAGCCACTACCACGAGGGCGACTAGGAGGACGACGATGACGACGGCAAGGACTGTGGCGACGATGACGCGTAGTTAGACTACTTGTGCGTCGCTGCACCGTTCTGCGCTCACACGATTCACGATCGGCTTGTGAAAAAGGAGTTTTTTGCCAAGTGCCCATGTCATCAAGACTCACACAAACGGTCGCCATCCCATCTCCTCTCGATTCGTCAAGAACGTAGCGTCCATGAAAGGTCCTCATTGCTTGAAGTGAAGTTTTCAGACTTGTGTCCAAAAACAGAAGCCTAAAATATCATCCGGAAGGCTAGCAGCGAAGACAGGTAAGTTTGAACATCTAGGCAATCTTCATGAGCTTGTCATCAGGGACATTCGTTGGAGCTGGTGGCATTTTGGTCAACTGCAGTGCTACCGACCATCGCAACCACTGAGACATAGCTTGTCCCTCAGTCCTTCGTTGAAACCCTGAAACAGTTTGGATGTGGTTTCATGTGATCGCGGTGTATCGCTGTGCGTCGGGCGCTCGATCCTCCATTTGGTGGGTGTCTGAGTGCATGCCGTGGCTGGTCGACGGTTAGTTGTGCCAGCTGATTCGTGTGGACCAAACTGAACCCTAAACCCTAAACCCTGGCTTGGTTAGTCATGCACCTGGAATTGATCCCTTGCTGTTGAGATGCAGCTTGAGAGTCGACACCCACCCTAGACTTGCAGCCGGAGCTCTACAAGCGAAGCCATGCACCCTCATCCACATTCACAGCAAACGCATCCGAGTTCAACAGCCTGGAGTACCAAAGATGCTTGTGCTGCAAGCTTTCGGGGGTTGAGCCGAAATTTGGATTTCGACGTTACGCATGAAACTTTGGAGCTACTGTCCTGCTGGGGTATGTTGGCGGTTATGGTGCGCAGAACCGAGTTTCGCCACAGCCTCCCTGGAAATGATGTGTCTCAGTAGTGATTCTGTCACCCCGAAGTCCTGGCCGTCCACCATGGCTGAGTCTTCCATCTGTGTTGCGGCTGCGCCTCTGGAAAGATGTGAGGGTTCGGATTCTAGATTCAATCCACCATGAAGCTTGTCATTCCAGGAAGATACCTGGACGGAGTCATCCCTCCTCTTCCTCAGCCAGTATTTATGCCAGGCGCGTCAGCACTTGATGCCAGCACGCATCGCAAGTCTTCAGAATCAAGCGAGCAATAGCGAGCAGCCAGGGGAGCGTCACAACGAATAATTTGGAGTGACGAAGATGCGTGGATAGTCCACACCGCACCTTATCATAATGGCCCCGGAATCAGGAAATGGCTCCTCATGGCAAGCAACCCCGACTGTGCAGTCACAGCATTGAAGTTTCATAACAAGACCAGAGACCCTTCCGGTACCAAGGATATGATCTGTGGGCAAAACCAAACAAAAACACGCCGTCAGGGCCGATGTTCCGCAGCCTCGTGGGATCGGTGAAGAAGGGCCTCGAACCGCAGGCGCGCGGGTCTTCAGAAACTTCAGGGTGTTATAGGTCCAGTAGCCAAAAAGGAAAGGGGTGTTGACAGTGTTTGGGAGTTTTAGGGGTTTTGCCAGAACTCCCGAGTCGGAAAAGTTACACATGTTTTTTTGCTTTTTCGGGATGTTGAGCTTCGGGGTTGCAAGGGTTTCCGGTCTGAGTCTAGTCTTGGTCCTGGGCGTTTGGTCTCGGGCTTTGGGTTGAAGTTTATGTTGGATCTGCGAAGTTGGCTTTTGGTCATCATCCAGGTTCGAACCATTTTAAAAGTTTTGCGTGGATGGCAGAGCAGTAAATGAGATTGACAGATAACTACTTAAACACGTAGGTCTAGATTGGAACTTAGATACAGGTCTAGATGCAGATAGGTACTGACACACATATTGATATCGATGTCGATATGCGGATATCGAAAATACAACAAAGCCTATGAATACATGGGTGTGCTGCATATGCAGAGATGAGTAGGATGCAATGGCAGACCGGGACATGCATGATTCAGATTTACGTGCATACTTACAAGCATGCATAATTAAGTCAGTACGTACATGCGTACGAAAGTAAGCAAGCAAGTACTATGTATCTAAGTACTTCTACGTATGGATGTATGTAAGTAAGGTGTCCCGCCTGCGTGGGGCCATGCCCTCTGATATGCGGAAGCCCAGCCAAGCCTTGGAGCTGCGTGAGGCCTTGGCGGCGAAGTTGTCTGAGCTTGAGCACCCCGTCTTGTCCTCTGAGCAATCGGAGTCGCTGCTGGAGGTCTTGCTGCAGGCTCCTTGGGATTTAAGCCCAGGGGCATTGTTGCACTCCTCATTCTTCTGCCCTGTCGATTCAACTTTTGCCAGGCGGTTGCCGACCCTTCGCGCGTCTACGAGTGGCTCAGCTAATCATGATGTTGTGGTCTGGATCTCTTTGCCAAAGCCCATTCCGTAGTTGAGCGATTTTTCCCCTAAAGAGGGCGGGCCTGATGTATCTCCCTCTCAAATATGCACATGTTTTCAGCGCATGTTTTCAGTAATGCATTTCGTAAACACCACAGATCGCAAAAGGTTCTGCTCAGCGGTGCAAGGTCAGAAGCTTGCGTTCGTGTCTCAAGTTGTCCCTCTGACTTCAGCATTCGGCGATTCAATCTTCCACATGACTGCTTGCAGGTATGAGCACATCATCTGCAGCCGTGTGCTCGACTTCTGGAACCTTGCAGCTCGGTCCGACGGAGGTTGTGTGGCTTGAGGGGGGCTCCACTTGGGACTTCGTGTCTAGGAGTTGCTTGTAGTGTGGTTTGAACTTGGTCCTGCGAAAAATTATCAACCGAGGCTGGGAACACAACCGGAGGATGCTACTACGGCCTCACATACGTTGAGGCTTTGATGGGCTCGTTAGTGAGTGTTTTGCGATGTTTTGTGTGAGTGCGGGAGCAAAGGGGCAACCTCCGCAATCTTGCTGTAAGATCAGTGTTGTCAAAATGCCGATGGCGGTGATGGTGATGATAGTCACTGTGGTGGTGCTGCAAGTGGTGATCATGCTGAGGAGGGAGCAAGCCACCGAAGGAGGTGTGTCATGCTGATGTTGATGAAGGCCAGGGCGCGAGGAGGACGAGGAGGCTCATGTTGAGGAAGATGCGGCGGTCGTCTTTGCAACGGCAACGCTAAGACCCTTTCATGCGGCGGCCAAAAAGGGACTAAGAGTTGGAAGTTGGCTGGAGACTCGTAAGTACTCTGAAGTTGCTCTGGTTTAGACGGCATGGTGCCCTTGGGAGGATGCGCGACCCCTCACCCAGGGCGATGCGAAGGAGCAGAGCCTCGACGAGGGGTTGTGAATTGGGTAGTCTGATAGCCAGTCCATGGCTGATGCCTGCTGTAGCCCTGCCCTGGCCGGGATCCCGAAACCAAGGATTTTTCTCCGCTGGCATCGGAACTCTCAGTCTTTTCAGGAGGCCCGCATGGACAGGTGACTTGGCAGACTTTAGCTTTCGGTGAACATGCTAGGGGGTGGTTCCGAAGGTATTGCGTGAGCTTCGGAAACAGGCTTCTGGCCGCTTAGATTTGTGTTGGAGAAAGCATGCAGCTCTACACACTTCACATACGGACGGATGGCCAGACAGGCGGACAGACAGACAGAGAGAACGGTCCCCGACAGACAGACCTGCATACACAATTTTCTCTAGCCACGCACCTTTCTATGTCAGAATCTTCGATGTGCCAGTGATGATTTGCTTCAGTGGTTTCGCGCAGCCAGCCCTACGTCAGACGCGAGTGCTGAGAGCAAAAGGGTCGCAGCGAAGTGTCCCCGTGTTCAGACAAAGTGAAGGCTGAAAATTCAGTCTGACGTTCCTGCGCGACATGGCCTGTGTTTGGTACTGCAGTTTCAAGCTTGCTGAACTGGCGGGTGTCATGCTCTTCCACGTAGTGGATGCAGCGGCAGAGAGAGAGAGAGAGAGAGAGAGAGAGAGAGAGAGAGAGAGAGACAGAGACCTTGACCCCAAACCCCCAGCAAGCAAGCAAGCAAGAGACAGAGACAGAGAGACAGAGAGGCTAGGGGGAAACCCCTGGCACATAGCCCGGGCGAAAGAAAGAGAGAGAGGGAAAGAAGAGAGAGCAGGGGGGCTTCCCCCTGGCTCGTTACCCTGGCGAAAGAAAGAGAGCGACACGTTATGAGGTCCCCACGGGGGAGGGTTCGGGAAAGCCCGGGCCTTTAACCTCGAGCAAGCAAGAGAGAGATCCTGTTCGCCTATTTTTTCAAAGCAAAAGAGACGGAAGTGCACATTCTCATGGGGCAAGGGGTCTCTCGCATCATGCATGGGTGACATATATGCATTTGTATGTGTGGGCAGACCATGCAGGCTGGCTGTGTATGCACAGATGCGGATAGACAGGGAGAGGTTTAGAGCCAGACGCTTGGGAGAATAGTCACATGCCTTCTGCTCCAAGGAAAACGCAGGAGTTCATGAGGAGGAAGTTGCAGGCATGAGACCTGATCTTATCCAGCAGGCCGCGCTTGTTAGATATTGCACTGTGCTGCAAAGTGTGTTCTAGGCCGGAAGACCTGCAAGATCTTGTTGAAGCCTCTGACATTCAACGATTGACGCAGCAAGCCAGCATGCAGCACTTTTGGAGGGATGGTGTGCCGTACGGGGAAGCTATACTCCGAAGCTGAAGCTACGGCCTGTCAGGAGACCTGAAGCGAAAAGAGAAAAAGGGAAAACCCGGAGCATGGGGATGTCAGCAGCTCGGCCCTGCAACTCCTAGACTCATTCTGAGGCCTTCAGAATGATTGCGAGAACTGCCGAACCATGCCGAGATCCCCCTTTGCAATTGCACCTCTCTCTGTCTACGTTTACAGACAGCTTAGGCGGAATTCGACCGGAGATTTACTGGAGACCTACAGGGCTACAGTAGGGGCTCATCCATTGGGAGACATGCCGTGTAAGGAGGTTGTTGCGGCCCTGTTTCCCAAAGGGTTCGGGTTCCACTCCAGGAAATCTCCCTCAACAGACTGATGTGTCCAGAGGGCCATCGCAATTCAGCTGCGAGAGTGCAGGAAACCTGGGTTCGATGCTATATGTATCTAAGTGTGCGATTCGTACAAGGTAGCGCTCAAAGCATTTGGGTATAAGGAATCCAAGGCCTGCCAGCTGACAGAACTCCCAACTAGTGGATCGATCTGGCATGCGATAGGCCAATCTTCCTCGGCGACGGGTCCACACTGAGCCCACAGTAAGAGGCCAGAGGCTCCCTGTCGCGGCTACAGGAGATGTCTCCGTCTTATGGGAGTTTGCATTGTGTTACTTCCTTGTGGTTGCAAAAATACGTTGCCGAAACCTCGGTAGAAACAAAAGGCCCGGGAAAATCAGAACCAGAAGCCCTGGTCCAATCTGCGCGAAAGCTTGATCATCGAGAGGATCCCACTTGTGCCTCGAAGGCAGATCTGCAGGCACATTTGTCGTTTCCAGTGGCCCACAGGGTCGCCAATGCATGAACCTTAGTACCAAAGTGTCGCGAATTCGAGCTGTGCGAGCTGTTTAGGGACAACTTTTTTTAAGGCATGACGCATGGAACGAAACTCCATCGCTTTTTTGTTTGCGAAGACCGTCAGTCACATGTCATCCTTGTACAACCCGAACCTCATGCGGTGATGATGGTAAAGGCGCATGGTGATGATCGGATGATGGTGATCATGACCACGTCGACAGCAACAACATCACCACTAACAACATGCTCGTCAACAGCAGCGACAGCAGCAGCACCAGCACGTCATCACCACCACCACCGCCACCACCAGCAGCAGCAGCAGCAGCAGCAACAACAATTTCAATTGGACACTGTGCGAGCGGGCTCTGCACATGGCGGGCGTATTACCCCACCAAGCACTCACCACTGGGTTAAACCGATTTCGGCTCCATTCCGAGCGGCATTTGCCTGCCGCACCCAGAACCGGCAGATGGCCTGCCTGGCCTGACTTGACCGGCTGTGAGCCCACTGCAAGCCGTTGGCCCATGTCAACAGGGCAAGGGCAAACTCATACGAGTACGAGCAATGCCTGAAAGCCTCGTCATCTACTAAGGCGACATGAGAAAAACAGGCAGTGGACACATGCAAGAGGGACACATCAAACCGCGTTGATGCGCGGTTTCCAGCGGTTTTGGCGAACTCATGGCGAGCACACTGGATCATAAAGGCATGGTGCGGTTTGACAACTTTTCTTAACTAATCTAATCTTGTTCAGCATTCATCACACACAGTTGGTTGAGCAAGAAAAGTGCTGAATCAGGCGCCGCACGCTTTGCTGCAGCATCGGCAATGTGATTGTAATGCCGGCACTTGTCCAAAAAATCTGGGAGCACTTTCGTTAAACCACATGAGCTTTGACCTTTCAGATGGACACCGACTGCGCCGGTTGCGCAACCACTAGGGAATCAAACACCCCCACAAATCCTCATGTTTCATCAATGGTGGGCAGGAGGATTGGCGCAAACAGCCCACCCCAACACTAGCAGCTTCAACAGCATGCTGGCAACCTGGACACGCAGTGCCCTGCTGAGACAAGTGAAGGGCAAGTGTGATTGCGTATATCCCAGCCCTGTCGTTCGACTGTTCACACCCTGGCAAAACACACGAATGGATAGTGCCATCGGTCTTGCACGACATGTCCGCAATACTCGCCGCAGAAGGTGCAGCAGATGACAGCCGATTGGCGGGCCAAAGGCATGAGCCGTCAACGAAGATGTGCAAAGCGGTGCGAGTGGTGGGTTGCACATGTAGCTGTTTGAGGAGAGGTCAGGCGTCAGAACACAGAGGCACCAGGCCTAGCCGCCAAACAGCTTCTGGCAATCTGCGCAGTTGCGATAACACAGTCTAGGAGAGTTTGAGCGGAAACCTTCATAGGGCTGACACTCGAAGATACGGTGAAACCTGGAGTCCGGCAACTGGCAATGCGGGCACGACGAATCTCTGGAAAAATCCCATTTGGACACAATGTCGTTTGTGTAATTTCTTCCATTTGCAAAGAATTTAACAATGCCCAACTCATCAGGCTGTAGTTGCGACAACAACCGCCGCATTCCTTGAAGATCGACCGCATGTAAGTTGAAGCCAGGTCTACTTTCTGTTAGTTCAGCACACACCGTTCGCATCCACGTTTAGGACAATGCGAAATGTAGAACTTCTCCGTGCACCTCAATCAACCCGAGGACCCAAACCACGGGTGAATCAAGGCGCACCCTCAACAGCCCAACCGAGAAGCAGTGCTGATCGTGCCAAAGACCCGGCTGGCCGATTTGGCAACCCGCCCTTGTTCAAAAGCCTAAGAAGCTCCTTTTGAAAGACAGAGAGTAGCATTCTGGATGCAAAAGACCAGTTGTCAGCGAAACAAAAGCGCAAGCACCGTTTTCGCTAAGCACCTCCATGCATGTCATTGCGATGACGGACATGCTACAACCTTCAGGAAATCCGGTTTCGCTATGTTCGGCCACCCCCGCCATGCCCCGCACAAGGAAAGTGCGAGTGAACGATGCCAACATGTTTTCATACGGCTGGACACAACATGGGCTGATCCCCAGATGGACCATCATCCACAGTAGCGGGCAGCGTGGTAAGGCGTTGAAATACTTAACAATGTCAAAAACTGCCCTTTGCCTAGGAAACCCTAGCCTTCACCCTCCAGCAATAGTCGGGGGAAGCTTTGACGAGAGCAATTTAACAATTTCAGTGGACCTGTAGTGTGCCCAACATCGGTGCAGTCGATTCAGGATGGTTATTGGACGGATTTGAAAGGCGGTACATGCACCGTCTGTTTTGGGGCAAACACACAACGAGGGCAAATACTAGAGCTTCAGGCCAAGCCGCCCCTGCTTCCAGCGCGTGGAAGAGGTCGAACAGTGCTTGCAGCATAGAAACGGGGATTGACTTGAGCTCTTGAACTGAAAATCCGCAGGAGCCGCGGGCTGACTTGGATGAAACGCCTTTCAGCATGTGAACCCACCTGGAAACCTCAAATGGAGCATAAGGCATGGGCTCAAAATCGGGAAGCCTCGTGTCAATGAATGCAATCGCATCATCCCATTCGTCCGTGGTGGCGCTAACATCCCCGTGAAACCACTTCCCTCAAGTTCCACGAACCTCAGCGTCAACGTCTGCAGGATGCACCAAGGTTTTCCTAAGGACAAGTTTCGGTGGCCGCTCCTCGGGCGTCAACCGTAGGTGCACAGACACTGCCGGCGCATGAACGCTTTTCACAAGAAAGCTAACCCTGACATCGGGAACAGGTTTCAAAGGATTTTAGCGCGGCCAGCTTTAGGC